AATGTGGCTAAGGCAGTTGCTGTTTAACCAAGGTCGAGCGGACCAAAGAATGAACCGGAACCCTGCCTCGTCTATCACCAAACACCTCATGACCACTCGTCACCAGGTGAACCCAATCGATTCATTCAAGGTGTTATTGCGCAACAGGAACCCGAGGTTGTTGGCAATTGGCGAGGCGCTACTGATAAGGTTGAATTGTCCCGTGCTCTGTGCCCAGAAACAATTGAGGCAATCTAATTGATTGCCTTGGACCTGATTACGTCATTCTTATCATTCTTATCTTTCTTATCATCTTTGTTACTAAGTGTGGACCCTATATATTGCGTGTTTTGTCTTGCCTGTATTGCGTCGCGACTGACGAGAGCAATCGAAATGTTAACATATCGCAACCTCTGTCTTCTTACTGCATTAATGAAGTGGCTGAAGGGGACTCAGTGTTTCAAGTTCCTCCCAGGTAGTCGAGTTGTTGATTTGGATTATGCTAATGATATCGTCTTGCTGGGTGACGATCCACACGTCGTCCAACTTGCATTAAACCGCTTGGCGATTGAAGCATCAAAGTACGGTATGTACTTTTCTCCGTCCAAATGCAAGGCTCTCTTCCAAGACTGGCAGGTGCCTCTGCCTGCACTCACTCTCGCTGGTGAGACTCTAGAGGTTGTGGAGAGCTTTGTCTACTTGGGAAGTTGCATCACTGCTGGCGGGGCTGTTGGAGACGAGATTTCGATGCGCACCTCGAGAGCAGGCCTGGTTTTTTTAGGCTGAAGCATTTGTGGCGTCGCTACGACATTCGTCTCTCCATCAAAGGGCGGGTCTATTGTGCAACTGTTCGTGCTGTACTGTTGTACGGATGCGAGACCTGGTTCATTCGTAAGATGACTTGCGCAGGCTATCCGTTTTCGAGCAACGCTGTCTGCGGTCCATTGCCCGTGTGTGGTGGCAGCACCACCTAAGCAATGTGGAAGTTAGACAGCGTGTCTTGGGACGTGGAAGCCACTCGCTCGAGGAGCTCGCCTCACTGCATCAGCTGCAGTGGTTGGGACACGTATTGCGCATGTCTGTCCAGCGTTACCCCCGTCATGCGTTGTTTGCGGTTGCTGGACAGGGTTGGAAGAGACGGTCTGGTGGACAGTCTACAACATGGAGAAGCCGCTTGAAAAAGCTGACCAAACAGTTGGCCTCGGCAGGTGGTTGTCGACTACCTGGTTGGGGTCCGAGAGATGAGGATACTTGCTAGCTGAAGACCTTGGAAGCAATGGCTCAAGATCGATGTCAATGGCGGACGTGTGCATCAGTGTGTTGCGGTGTCCCTTCTTCCTCCCCCTAAAAAAGAACAAACTGAAAAAATTTCAAAAACTGTGAGTGGTAAAATAGACAAAAAGCATTTGTTGTTGCTCTTTTCTTATTATTCATATTGTTTTCCTATTCAGTTATGATTCCGAGGGCACAATATCTGTAACACAGCTTGTGTATTATATATATATATATATATATATATATATATATAAGCATTACCATGTTAGGTTTTCTAAAAATTTCGTCTTGTAAACTTTAAGAAATTTGCGCGTTGCTGCTTCAATACAGTTTACTGACCTGGTGATCGCTGATGGTACCTAGGTAGCACGTCGTGCATGCCCAAATTCCATCATAGATAACTGATTGTGTATGATACTGGGTCATAGTGTTTTCAAGACTACCTAATTTATTGGTTACGGTTTTCTAGACTGCATTTCGCCATACATTTTGAATGTGGACTCACATTCGACCGAGTTTTCATGGTCGCGCTTGCAAATCAACTGATTCATGTTTACTACTACGTTGTCGCTTTATCATTGAGTGGTGGAAGGACGCAGCTGCTGTTCATTTTACAACTTTATGGTACAATCTGACATTTTTCCTCCGCAGCTCTGAACGCCACGCGCAAGGTGACTCCTTTTCTTCATTTATTGTTGCTACACAAAATCTCGAATTCTACTCCATACCTCGCGTTCGAATGATCCCGCTCGTTCTTGGACGCTGTCTTGCATAGCGTTTCGCCTGATTTCCAATGACTGCTAACGGAATATCGGACCTTAGCGGTCTGCGCCGCGTGCTCACCAAGGCAGGATTTGATGTTAACAGATGTAAGTGCACAAGGCGTACGATACATTTTGTGGAACTTATTTTCAACCTTTATTTAGTTGTATAAATAAGTCTTTTGGCTCCATTTATATTTTCTGGCTGTTTGTTCAGCCGTTTAAACGGGGAAAACTATGTGCTTAATTTTCCTCGCATAGTTTGACTTGGGTAACGAAAATGGATTATCGTATCCTTTCAAAATCAACTCTTCTTCATTTGTATGCACCTTGACAGTTATGGGAGGACGTCGCTTACTTTCACCCTACATTTTGTCCTCCACTATGTACATTCCTTGTGTTGTTGAGACATTCTCGTTTATCTCGGCACAGATTGTTGTCGATTGCAAGGTACTTCATCGTTTCACTTTAGTAACCTGATTAGCCTACCTCAATTCGGTTTCTGTACTCTACTTTTGTTCTGCGATATTATTTAATTATCTGAGACTTTCTGGGCCATTATATCTTATTACTCCCTTCGAATTCCGCATTAACTGCTGTTCAAAGGCGCCTGAATTTTTGTTTCTTGCTTTTTCATAAGTGGATTCCATTACTTTGACCTGGCCACTATTTTTTGCACACAAAGGTCATTACCTAGTGTTTGGTGTTGCTTATGTGAACAGTGCTACGAAAGATGGGAACATGTACGTCAGCGCCTGCCCGTACCCTAAAGGTGGCGTGCTTGTCTTGTAATCTGACGGCGCTGGTTCGAGCCTGCGCAGTATCCTTAGCCCACGTGCGACTGGTGGTGGTTGCGCGGCATCGAAACGTTGGTACTGCGTACCGGCGTATTGCTGATACCATGTACGTCAGCCCAGATTAGTTCATCTGGCCATCGGAAATGCGGTTGCATGTATTCACGCTTCGAAGTTATCACTGTCGTGAACAATCTCTTCTGCATACATCATTACGCTAGCGCGGGTTCGATAGGCAACCTACGTATGACGTTGATCATTGAATACTGGGTATACAGTTAAGTGGAAAGCAGTTTCAAAATTGGATTTGTAATTCAGTTTATTTACATGCCCAGTGAGGTCACCGCCTCGAGTGCCTCGTACACATCCCGACTGGTTCAAGCTGAAAGCTGACATTGTCCAGTCGGTCAAATTCGCTTTACGACTAGCTGCATCTCAAGTGAACAATTGAAAGCAAGCCATGGGAAATTTTATAGTAGGTATCATTCACCATAGGACAGTAGGGTTGGTGGTACTCGATACGCCTTGACCCCATTGTCTTTATTGTTTTGCCTTTGCTTGATACCTTCTCTACTATATTAGTGTGTTTTACTCGATTTCTGGTGTCACTAGCAGGCACTACCTGTGCATTCCGACCCGTGAAGCTGTACCCGTGGTCTGGCCAATGACAATGATTCAAACTTATGACTCGTACTCCACGAGTCACTGCTCCGAACCTGCATAAATACGCGCGATGTCGCAGAAACCCAGCCTGTATGAAGCTACTGACAGATGCGTGACAGCGACATCGGTGCAAAGAGTTGGTGTACTGCTAATACCTACATACTATATTTATGTGTATATTTAACACATGACCAAAAGAAGTGCAATTAGTAGAGTACCATAACATCGATATATACATTGTGACGAAAAGAGAGATGATTTACAAATTTGTTATTATGGGAGTAAAGTCTCACAACATGTCCGCCATTGAGTGCGAGTTCTTGCTGTGTCCGAGAGGGTTTCCACGCAGGTCGTGTGCCTTGCCCATCTCCTCCCCCTACTCGGGAGTCCAGAGCGCCAGACCACGACCAACTTTGAGGCTAGCAATCCGTTGGCCACATTATTTTCGCTTCCAGCCAATCTCTGCTCTGGCAATGGGGGCACGGCGAGGTAAACGCTGAGTTGGCATGTGTAACACGTAACCATGCCACCGAAGGCGGTGTAGTGAAATTATGCCGTTCAGCGGCCGGCAGAGTCTGTCTGATCTGAGATTCCATTGATGAAATCATTATTAATGTGATGTTGCCACCAGCTGCGCTCCGAAGACAGCGGCGCTAAAAACAGACATCCTTTGAACATCTTTTGTACGACTACGCCTAATCTTGCAACCATAGAACAGGACCGCTCTCACTGTGGCATTGTATATTCGGCTCTTCAAAGAGTAGCTGTGGTCACGTCCACAACAGAGATGGCAAAGGTTAGCAAAAGTAAAAGACATCAGCAGTACGCCGGTACGCAGCAACGACGCTTTACAGCCGTGCCTGAACTACCAGTCGCACGTGGGCTAAGAATACTGCAAGGGTCGCCCGGTCCCTACACAGGCTCGAACCCGCGCTCTCGGATTACAAGATAGACTTACGACCCTTAAGACTAAGGGCCGGTTAGGAAAAGTAACCAGAGCCTTAAAGACGCTCAAAGATGCATCCGTGAAATTATATATTTATATAAACATATGGCTGGCGGCATCCGGTTTCGGATTTGCCTGTCACTGTGGCCAGCCATAGGACGCCTGCGCCTACAGAGGGACCATGGGTGGCTTGCGCTGCACCACCCACAGCTCCAACCACACCCCATATCCAGTGTAAACCCGAAGGAATAAGACTGGGAGGCATGTGGATGGGAGCCACGTTTCGTCAACGGAGCCGGCCCACACTCCTTCACAGGCAAACACAAGCACGCTGTATTCAGGAATCAAGCGCACACAAGACAGTGGCTGGATCGTAGTCCCGCTCCACACTGAGTGCATGGAAGCGCTCTTTGAGCCTAGCACGGCCACAAAGACCGTGCACCCTGTCCCCTCCAGCAGCGACCAACTGTCTCCTGGAGCCAGTATGGACGAAGTAGTGGGTAATAGACAGGTAGGCACCTTGTCAACAAGCACATCAAGCGCAACCACACCGGGGATATCAAGCAGCAGCTAATCACTTGTAACGAATAATGAATACAGATACGATGGCATAACTCTTCGCTAAATTAGCATATGAAATAAGTTGGTTAGCAACGAATCCGCGATAAGTAAAAAATGTCCACAAGTTACTTTAAAATGTTAAAATGCAACAAGTTTCCCGAAGATAAGCGCAATTAGTGTAAGCAACGTGGTCAGTTAGAAGATTATTCAGGTATGCAGAACAAAGCAAATAAAGTGAAAAGAAATTTATCCAACTTAAAAAGACTTGTATATATAATACACCCAATAGTGCAATTGGCATAGTGCCACAACGCTTGGGAAATACAATAAACAAACGAAGAGAGAGGGACAGAATATGAACCAGTGTTTATGGGAGTAGAGGGTCACAGCAGGTCGCCATTGTGCACAGTTTCTTGTCATATCCGAAAGCGTTTCCAGCCATGCGTGTTCCTGATCCTTCACACCTCAGTCCTGGCCCAAGTCATACTTTGGCCACTTTGCTTTCGCTTCCAGCCGACTTCTGCGCACGCGGAGGGCATGGCAAGGTAAACAATGAGTAGACATGCGAAGGACATACTTAAGCCACTGAAGTCTGCGCAGAGAAATTATGCTGCTCAGTGGCCAGCAAAGTCTATCTGATATGAAAGTCCTCCGTTGAACTTCATCATTACTAGTGTGATGTTGCCTTCTTTCATCAGCAATGCTTCGAAGGCAGCGGTGATAAAAAAACAGAGGGCCTTTCAAGATGCTTTGCGCAGACAAGCCAAGTGTTTCAGTCATAGAGCAGAACTGCTCTCATTGGGGCATTGTAAACTCGGCCTTTCAGTGATAGACTCAGACTGCCTCGAGGCCAGAGATGCGGAGATTAGCAAAATCATCCCGGATCTTGGACACGCGAAAAGAGACCTCATCCGTTAAAACATTAGCGTTGAGTCAGCTTCCAACGTAAACGAACTTGTCTACTGCTTTCAACGAATGACCTGAAAGGGTTAGGATAGGAGCAGCACTTAGCCAGTCCTGCAGGAAGACCTTACACTTCGATGGTACGGTCATTCCAAACTGGGAGACAGATACCTGGGCCAAGAGCTTTGCAACGCTTTTTAGGCGAGGCTCAGCAGCCTGTTGCCTAGTACCCCAGAGCCGCAGCGTGCTACTTAGTTAAGTAGATTTCCTTTAGACTAATTATCACAGAAAGTGCGCCCACCATGGGTGAACGGCCGAAGTTCACTTCACATTCAGGTCCTGACCTAACCAATATACTCAATTACTACTAACCCTCTTTTTATTGTTATATATAAATTGTTAGCGTTGAGGCAGCTTCCTAGGTAGACGAACTTGTCCACTACTTCCAAAGGATAACCTGAAAGTGTTAGAGCAGGTGCAGCTCCTAGGTAGTCCTGTAGAAAAGCCTTATGCTTCGGTCAGGAGAAGCTCGTTCCGAACTGAGAGATAAGCACCTAAAACTTGTACTGTGCATTTTGAGCGATCTGCAACAGATTGCAAATTAAGTGGATGTCGTCTGCATACTCCGAATCGCGAAGTCGATCCCCGGACGCAGCTCGATGCCGTTGGGTTCGCAGTTTCCCAGAACATTCAAAAATGTCCCAAGCAGCACTGTCTCGCGCTGCTGCTGATACTGAAAGCGAGAGACGAAAGTCCACCGTGCACCCTCACTCGACCAGAGCTACAAAATTAATGGCTTGAAGGATATTCACATACTTCTCGAGAGCTCTTTTTTAACAGTAACATCAGAGAGTAATTCGGTCTACTGAGTTGAACGTGGCTCTTACATCTAAGAAGTCAGAGATTGTTGACCGGCCGACCGTTTGATAACGCTCCAGTATTTGGCGATGCAGTGATCAATGCAACTCCGACATGACCGAGACTCAGCTCGCTCTTCGCGTATCTTTTGTCCGCGTAACAAGATGAACTTTTTTACAAGCAGAGCAAGAAGCATTTTGGACGCAATGTAAGTGAGACTACACCCGTGAGAGTTATCGCAATTTGTTCGGGTACCCTTTTTGGAGACGGGCGCGATGTCGGCTTGGCTTCAATCGAGCGGAAGTACTAAGTGATCCAAGCCTTTTGGAGGATGTAATTTGACTGTCGTGCAAGTGATGGGCCTCCATCTTTGAGACAGTCAGAAGAAGTTTGTCTAAGCCAGGAGCCTTGCGGCCCTTTAGGCGAAGCCCATAGCAACCTGTTACGTAGTACCTCAGAGCCGCAGCGTGCTACCCAGTTAAGTACGGCAATAAAGTTCCTTTGGACGAATTACCACAGAAAATGCGCCAAAGTTCACCTCAAATTCAGGTCCTGACCCAACCAACACATGTCAGTTACTACAAACCTTCTTTCTATATAGTAAACCTCATGTCATCTTGTGGATCGTTAGGTTTGTAGAATTTACCACAACACCCTGAGAGATGCTTCTCTTTACATGGATTCAAACAGGTAGTTGAAAACCTAATTGGATCCCAAATTCTCCAGTGTGAACACATTTTTTCACACTGATCGTACCCAGTCACAAAGTACTTATTGAGTCCTACGCCTTATTCTTCGCCACTGATAGCTAGTTAACATATGACAGTCCCAGACACTTTGGCTCACCTATCAGCGGGATAGAGGTTCGCATAAATAATACAATGTATAGACGTGTGGACTATCCCCTCAAACTGGTGCTTATCAATGCTCGTTCCTTAGTCCATCAAGTGCACTTGTTCCGTTGCCCTTCATAAGCCTTACATCCCACGGAATCTTCATCGATCCACCTTATCATCACTTTGTTTCACTGTTTCACGGGTTAGCTCAGTTGTGTTTCCATCACACTCCGGATTGTGTCAACCGAATTTTCGTTTCTGTTTTGCACAAACATCCATTTCAGTCTATAGTAATCTTTACGACTTTAACCCCTTCAGCATTGTTAATTACAGATGGCTTTTTCTAGCTAACGAGTTATATGGTACGCCGCGATCGACTTCCTTATCTCGTTGCACGGAATAACAATGATGGTCTAAGTTCATAAATTATCTTGAGCCCCATTTCTTCCTTTTTCTCCCATAGTTTTTCCACTGTTATTTGTCACTGTGATCTCTGCTCTCATTACGTTGCAGTTGTTAAAAATACCGCCCGAGATGGTAACCAAGCAACAGAGGACATGTTGGAAAAACTGTCCGTCATGTCGGATGATGCATCGTCTAAGATGAAACAAGCCGTCTTTGAAAACTACAAGCTATTCATCAAAGCCGGCAAGGCTGCCACCGAATTAGAGGCCACGGTTCATCAAATTCACAGCGATTTTACCGAAAAGGAACAGGTTATGAATGCACTTGTTGATATTTGTCTGTTTACGGGTACGCTGTCATCTCATCATTATCAATGGTTGGATTTTTTTCTTTGGTTAAGTCTACGTAGGTTGCGATTGCTGTCACATTGTACACTCCTCTTAGTTGAATTCATTCGGCCTTCGATTGATTTTGTATTGAAGTCGGTCAGCTGCAGCTGATTTGAATGTCAAGGTTAAATCGAGCAATTTCTAATGGGTTTAATCAGCTTCTCCTTAAAAAGAACGACAAGAGCAAACTGCTTTAGCGAAATTTACACGTTTGCATCCGCGTGACTTCATTTTGTCATCGCCAACCCGCAGTGAAAAATCCCGATTGCAACACCTAACCACTATCTGGATATGTCAAAGAACGTTTCCCTGCAATTTAAGCTAACCCCATCGCTGTCACCCTCTTCTGTAAAAGATGTATGTAAACTGTGTTTCATTATAGCGCACCTTATCATGTAGACGGCATTTCTAATTATTTCGGCATCCGCTCGGGGCGATGGTGCACACACATGTGCCTCTCGGCACTTCACTTGGTTTTCGGCATCGCTATTTTACCGGAATCCATATTGACTAATGGTGATTTTGGTTTGAATGCGTCAACTTCTCTTCCAAAGAGATAGATAGATAGTGCACACTTCTGCAAATCGGAACCGTATGTCTGTGCATACTCCTGACGTTTTATACGCTTCCCGAAGCGTCTAATCTTTAACACATATAGGTCTCGCGAAACACAATCGCCTCCTAACCAATCCCTGATGCCATCCCTCATCTGGGCGCGTTAGTGGTGCACTAGGAACCGCCCGTACGCACGCTGTACGCGCGAGCATCTTGTGACTGTTCGCAGGCAACTCTGGAACTGCACACATGCAGCTCTTGGGGCTACGTTGCGCATATACTATCTGATCGCTACAGTCGGAGTACATTCTGCATGTTGATCGGATCTCCTCACATGATATGCAATGATCATCCGGACACATGTCAAGCTTAACTGCACACACCGTAAGTGCTGACCGTATGCTTATCCATCTACTTCTATCGGATCTGAAGCCGCGATCCTCTGGGATCGTGGCAACACAAGTACTCAGGACATCCTTCCTAGCAGAGCGTAGAAACATGTACCGTCGCTTTGCAATGGGTCTGCGTGATTTGCGATTGAGTAACTGTCATTGCAGTTTAACATTTGCTAATCTTTCTAGGTTCATTTGTGTGCACATTTCTGTCATCATATGACATGCGATCTTCTCTAAGAAGCGCCATTAGTATCGTCGAAGTTTTATGCAACCCTTCAACTAAGGTAGCCACAGTGGTCACCTTTCACTGTTTTTGACAATTTCTTGAGCAACAACTCTCTTGTTAACTGGAATGTATTCTGGAATCTCGTCTTCAATTGCTTATTTCAGATACAGCACCCAGATTATCGGATGGTTCAACTAAGGTTGGTGACTCGAGCAAATTGACCGACGACGCATCATCGAAGCGCCTAAGTGAACACGCCGGAGCTTACTTGCGGTCCCTAGCCCACATACTTGAATTTCCACCGGTAAGCGTCCCATGCTTGTGGAATGCGGATGTTACATGAAGCACCCGATCTGCGTTCTTGTTGTCTCTGGCACCTGCTTTGGTTACTAATTTTGGTCTCCTTTGCACTGTAGTCGATACAAGTCCCACTACTGCCTAGCTTTCTCTCTCCGGTTCAGCTGTGTGGCATATTTATGCTACAAATGTTAAACCCGCCTATTTATGATTATTGCTACTCCGCGTGGTATTTGTCGTATATCACTTGGTAGCCAATTAATATACGCGTGTTGTGATTGGCTGTTTTTGTTGAGGGTCTTGGTGTATCATCTGTGCCGCCGTCAAAGATATCTTTACGCTTGTTTGCTGTCGATGCTTCCTTGCAAGCATAATCGACGTGCATCTGATTTGCCGAACTGGACTGTACAGTCCACTCACGTTTACGTGCGTTTGCCTCATGCTTCTATTTCACTCGAAAACCAGATTATCCAAGATTCTATCAACCGATCGTTACTTTTAATAACTCCAATCCCCTATTTATACCACATTTATCTTCGTCACTCTGTTTCCAGGCTCTGCTTGATGATTCAAACCGCCGCATCATACTGGACGGGGAGCTTAGTGAGCTGAGTGTCGATACCTACTCCGTTATATGTGTTGCTCGCCTTTTTCTGTTGGACGATATGCTTCTGATAGCATACAACCAATCTACGCGGTGAGTTGTCCAAGAACTTTTCGGTTGTGGAACTGTAGTTCCGAAATGTTTGTATCCATGTGCATACTCGCATAGCACTAGAAGCTTGCTCGATCGACTTGACTCCTGTACACTACCCCTGGGTCACCATAGAATCAGCCAGTAAGACGAAGCCCCTCTTCGTCATTATCACACCAGCAACCTCCTACTGTCAACAAATCGTAGTCCTGTATTCATCGAACTACTTTTACTATGGCAAGGTCTCTGGCATACATGGTACTTAACTTGTGTGACACGACACCCTCTAACGTCGTATCGTGTTAGTGCTCTTAGCTGACCAACCTGGAGCTCTCTTTGTGGGGATCACTCACTTGTGCCAATTGCATTTCTAGTCGTTTACCAACACCGCCGTCACTTCACCGATGTTTGCTCGAACAATAAGTCAAGACGAGCGAGTGATCCATCAGACGTTTTCACAAAATGCTTCGTCCATGGTTTCATTTTTCTCTAAGACCCTTAGTTGTGTCACAGACGTTTCATTACCAATGGATATGACTTGTGGATCATTTAAATTTGTTGTGAAGTATCGGGTTTCCAAAAGTTCCACCACATTCTTTAATTTTCCACATATTAGACTCATTACTTTCTCAAGTTTAAAACATACCGATCGCATCTGTTGTGTCGGACATTGCTAGAGTAGAGCATAGGCCAATCCCCAGCAATGAAGAACGAGCAGGGCGAGTACGCGAAAACCGGAGTTTATTCTGAGAACAGAACGTGAACAGACGCGGATGAAGTATTCACACCGTACAACATGCACTAGCCAACTACACGTTCGACCGTGAGTCATGATTCAAATCAACACTAGTCTGTTGATCGATATCTTTCCGGTGCGTTAGGCATCAACCGACTAGACCTTGGGCTCAGCTCATTCGGGATTTTGGGGCAGCTGATTGAGTGAAATCAATTCACGTGCTCCGCTGGTTTACGCTCCAGAAATCGTACACTCCTAGCAGCATTTTCGTATGGTTGCCTTGTGTGCGGTGATTTGTGTACAGTCTTCCAGTTCGTCCGATGTTAATGTGCACCATTGGTTCATTTGTGTGTAGAGAGCAGCAGGGGAGACCTTTGCCAGCTACGTTACTTCCAGTTCATTGCGAGGTTAATGCTTGTGTTTGCGACTAGACGCGCCACTAGAGATCTTCGCCTTTGCAATAGGGGCGGCAGGAACCTGCGGTTGCCATTTATCTCGTGGATAACATTGCTTTGATTACATTAATGAATTCAATCGGCGGTCGTTGGACCAATAATGCGACACGATTACCACTGCTGCACGCGATTTGGATGTATGTGATCTTCGTAGGCCCTTGCTAGGCGGCGTTAGCAGTCCTTAAGGCGCCACACTTTCTCCACGCATCAACAGTGTACTCCACTGTAGAAGTAATGTCAGTTGTCATGAGGTGAAGTGAAACTATTGAACCTAACCCTACTGTCTACCTTCTGTCTTAGAGCTTTACGGAGTCGCTCTGTATTGAGTCTAGCTCGAGCTATCGCAAATGCGCCACCACCGCGACGTGATGCTATGGTCTGTATATCCTCGCGATCCACCTAACTCAGATAGGTGACACTTCAATTGCTCTCATGGCAACACATTCAAAACAAGACGATAGTTATGGGTTACTATCCTATCTGACATGTCAGCGAGACGTCGGTACGAGGTACTGGCACACGGAGAAACTCAGTCTCAGCATCATCATGGGAACTTGACGAAAGGTTAATGGTCATCTTCCTCTGCAACTTTACCGTAGCAGGCAGCAGTCTACGATCTGAGTTTCTATTCGGCTCGAGCATTGGTTTGTTCTTGACTTTTAGTGAGCGCCACTCATTCTCTGTATTTTGCTACCTCCCCGCCATCGAACCAGACAGGCTTTGGACCAACGACGCGGACCCGTCAAACCCCACATGTGGTTGGCCGACGTCATGAATGTGGAGTTTGCAACGGTCGAAAACCATGCACACTTAGTTCCGAATCCCCAATTCCGGGTGTAACCGGCCTGAGAACAGTCCTACCGTGGCTCTGTAGTCATGCTGCTGAGTTGGATTTGCTCCCCACCGTCTTGTGGGTCATACCACTGAGTCAGAACCTTCTTTTGGAGGTCCGTAAACCATCTTCCATTTACCGCGCTGCCGTATGAGTCAGACTTTTGAATCGAAAGCTAGTATTGAGCATCTTAAACAAAACCTCGTCTCGTAAAGGGTAGTTGGAGAGTTTCGTGTGTTCACAAGACACCGTCACCAGTACCTCTCTCCCCTTTTTCTTTTCACGAAACCTGTTTTCCTGTTATGGAATCCGTCAGCCACACTACCGAGGGATCCTGGTCACCTTTCAAAACTATGGTATCATTCCACGTTGCGTCTTCCAAAATCCTCACACTGCCAGATCGGCAGACAGACGACGCCTGTATCTTGCCTCGGATTTGATGTGTCCTATCTCCAGAAGACGCATATATGATGACTGTATCCTTATTTAGCTACATTTACTAGACTCGGATCCCAATAACTCGGTCCGCACACTTCGCGTCTCTAGTGCTGTGGGTTCTAGTTTCGCGGCATTTATGGCGCTCTAGTTGTTCTCAACTAAAGTACACAGGTTACTCTTCTAGATCTTAAACAAGTGTACATCTGAATGTTCACCATTCGACGCTGAGGCTTCATATAAGTCACTACGTGGCGACCGAAGACCTAACGTCTTTCGCCATTTCAACCTATGCGGCCTGGAGGCTGACAAAGCATTGATCTATACGCGTTTCTGTTCTTCAGTTCGATTAACCAATGGTGTAGATATCCCGATCGTTGCGAGCGAAGCGAGTGCTCAGGTCGGTCATCTATCAGAAGTGGATAATCGCCTAGGAGGCCGTTTAGGAGCATATGCTTACTCTACTAACGATGGTGGCCGCTTTCTTCAGCTGTTCACTGATCACGACCTCTTTATAAGCAGTAAAACCTTCCAGAAAGCGTTCACATCAAGTTTTATGGTGGTTAACGAATGACAAGCTACCATTGACTCAGGTTGATCACATGTCGCAATTCATTACAGGATTGTCGCTTTAACTAGTGCACTTACCTCGACTATGATTATGTTCTCATACACGTCCGCATAATACTCACCCTTCACCCTTATGCTGTGTTTGGTTTTGAAATTGTTTGTTCGTTAAGCGAATTCATTCTGGGAAGTATGCATAGCAGTCTGAATTGCAACGACTGTTGTCACTGACAAATAAAGTAAATAAATCGAATACGCGACGCAAAAGCACTCGTCACCGTTTATCCATTTTGGATTTTTGATCAACTCAATTGAAGCAAGAGTATTGGCTTTTTTAGGGGATCAGTTTTGGGTTGTCCGTAGCACTCTGGAACGCCATCTGACTGAGTCTCAGAATCGACCGGGAGTATTGATGGACACCTAGGGTTCATGAGATGGATAAGACCAGCACCCTCGGGATTGTGAGAGCTATTTCGAGCTATTCAATACGCAGATCCGATAAAGACAAGGGAGGCAGTGGCTGAAAGGGATGGACAGCTGACTCCCACTTAGTCAAGTGGGCTTGAACTTTGCAGAACGATCCATACATCCCCTTGTGCCATAGTTGCTAATGGCGTCATGCGAACCCAACTGGGACGTTGATGTTGAAAATCCCACTATCGATGAGATCTTACACGAGCTAGTGTTGTTGAATAAGACACCTGTTCCAGACGTCCCTCCACCGTCATCATTAATGGAGGGCTGCGAATCATTGGTACCTACCTTGGCCGCTCAGTTCAGCACTGTCATCGCCATTCTCATATGGCGGGGACTTCAAATTTGACCGTCTTCTATAATTCTTACCCAAAAAATTTACTACCACATGCGCTTTTTGGCACAGCATCAAAACCCGTTTGTTTTGACTTATCAATATTTTGTTCGACAACCATGTATAGGATGGAAATTTTCACGTGCTTTCACACAGATTAATTGGGCATTTTTCCTGAGCAAACCACTCGAAACAAAATTTATAGAAGCAAAGGAATTTTGCACAAGTCGTGCAGGATGGCGGGTTGCGCTTCAGAGGAAGCATATCGGAAATATGAGCCTAACATTTTACCCAGTGCTAATGTTCGATCTATAGTTGGAAAATTAGAAAACCTCACCAGTGTTATAAACTGTGAATATTCTCACATGGATATCATTATACTACAGGAAACCTGGCTTAATGTTGATGTTGAAGATGCAGTATCTCGACGTATTTAACACTTTTCATGTTGACCACCAATGTACACAGATAAATCGCGGTGGTGGTGTTATCGCTTACATTAATATTTTATGGTGCACGTCGATTAAAAGCGTTTTTCAATACAGCTGGCAACGCATCAGCTGTTTACTCGTGGAACGCAAACCAAGACTACTGAATGGTTATCATTCGATTTTATTGGTTAATGTTTATTTTTGTAGAAGGTGGAAGCCACGATTAAACTACACAACAATCTGCCTCGACGGGGAATCGAACCCCGGACGCACCGATTACCGGTCCGCAGCGGACCGGCAGATTATTGTGCAGTTTAATCGTGGCTTCTACTTTCTACAAAAATTACGTACTCACAAAACCATCAATACTCTAATGTTCATTTCTCACCTAGCTGTCCAACTACAAAGTTGAAGAATTTTGCAATGGATTTACAGCTGCGGTCCTCGAATACCTAGGGCTTCGCTTGTGCATAGTTGCCGGCGATTTTAACAGAGCTGACGTCAATTTTATTGCGAGCCTCGGGCGAAAGAACATAGGGCAATCTCCAACTATATTAGATGCAACATCTGACATGGTACTTGTTAACAACCTGAAAGTGTTTTCTGTTTGTTATCGGGTGCCGCTTGGGTGCTCAGATCATGCCATCGTTAAGTTATCTCAAGTTATCTAAAGCAAGATGAGCCATAATGATATCATCCGTTGCAGGGATCGAAAGCTCAGGCGGAGACAATTTCTTCC